CGAGTACACCCCACATATCTCCGTGCTGTTCTCACTCGCTTTGGATACCCTCTTCCACTTGTAAATTGCATTGATAGACTCTTTCTTGGTACCCAGCTACAAATCAACATCAATGGATTCTTGACGAATAGTGTCTCACAACGTCGTGGCTTTAAACAAGATGACCCACTGAGCCCGATACTATTCAATTTGGCCTTTGAACCTCTCCTCCGAAGTATACAAAAAGACATCATGATACAAGGCTACGTCTTACCTCAGTGGATATCTGTGTCGTATTTGGGTACGATTCACTTAAAGAATAATTAAGCAACTCGTTTAAATAAATAAACTATGAAATTAAAACAACCTTTGATGTTGCATATCAGCATACGCTTGTATACTGCTATACAACTTCTCCTACTTCGAGTACAAACTTCTATATAAAAGATTGCATGATTGGCATAAATACGATATACGAATGACAGTTGGATACAGAAAGCTATACCGCTGAGTTACCATATCACCGATCGAGAAGAGAATCTTCTCAGATCAAATCAAGAATTATAAGAAAGAGATGCTTAATATTAATAGTTCTCTCAATGGCTTAGTTACCCATAATGAGAATAGAACAGCTATTAGTATAAATGGTTCATTTACTTATATATTGATATAATTATACTGCTGATAAAGAGTATAAAGAAATAGTGTATGAATTAATGGATACCTAGCTTCTACAATCAAATATACAAATATCGATAAGACATTTTATATTTGGGATCGTAATTTATTCATTACAAAGATAATGAATAAATGATCAACTATTATGATCTATTGCCAGTTACACTTGACAAACAAGTATGTATCTTTTACAGTAACCGTTGCATGATCTGATAAATAAGTTTCTCGTAATACTAAAGATTTATTAGAATACTCATGCTCCCAATCCACTGATATGGGACAACGTTATCTGGAAACAATTCTAACGAGTAGTATCCATTTAATCCAAGGCGGGAAACAAAGTATAGATCTATTCCAGAACCAGAAAGGTTGACTCATCATTAAAACTCAGGAGAGTTGTGCAATATAAAAAGGATCAATTATTTCATAGCAGCAGAGTTCTTTTAGTCTATTTTTACCTCAAATAAAAATATACTTTTTTCTCATTACTTTTTCATTGTAATATTTTTGTCAAATACCACAATCTGGCCCTCATTTCCAAGAATCTGCAATCAGCCCAGTAAAACTACTGGCATATGCGGATGATGTTATATGTTTTCTGAATACTCCCAATGAACTGGACCGTCTTCAATCACACCTATCATTATATTCACAAGCATCGAACGCTCGGATCAATTTCAATAAGACAGAGGCAATATTCTTATCTGGTTCACCCACTACTTATAACACATTGTGGCGCAGTGCACTGAACTCTTACGATATTGCAACCTGGCACGACTGTCATTCAACTTTACCAGTAATATACCTTGGCTTCCCTCTCTGTTCGTTCGATATCACAACGTAATTTTTTCCTAGAGACAATCCTATCCAAGATCAGAATTGCTTGTGACATCCACCGTCAAAGGTCATTATTTGTCCGTGGGAGATCTACAGTCCTCAACTCACTTAATCTGAGCAAACGTTGGCATGTTCTTCGAGTAGCATCTGTACCAGCTACATTCTTCAAGTCGGTACAGTCCATAATATCACAGTTTGTTAATTATCGAATCTTTCCAAAGATTAGTTTTGAAACAATATGCTTACCACGATCCGATGGTGGTTTAGGCCACATCAATCCCAGCATCCAACAGGCCGCACTCCAAATACGTTGGCTACAACCTATCCTATGTACTCCAACTGAAGAACTTCTATCTGGTCAAGCGCCTATTGCAGATTCAATTGTGCTCCCACGACTTCTTAGTTTCATGTACTCACGAGTAGAAATTTACTCGGAAGGCCGTTCGCTCCACACCCCTGCCGTACAATTAGACCATCGCTTTTTCTTTTTGTTCCCACTACGCAGACCTTCTCCTATTCGTAAATTGTCTAGCTCATTATCCCTAGTATTTAAAGCTATTGACCTTATCCCGCACAATTTTACCAATGTCGTTATTACTGTAGCTCTGTTGCGGGGATAATAACTTTGATAGTAAATGTAACTGGATTCTTGAATTAAAATTGAAATGATCTTATAACTGTAACAAATGATGCAAACGTTTTAATATATGGAGCAGATGCGTTTTATTATTTAATTTTACCTGTAACAAAAGATGCAAAAGATTCTATATAAGGAGCAGATAAAAAGGCTCCTTATTGTCGTGATCGAGGCTATATACTTAATATATGACTCTATCTACACTTCTTAAATCTTCCATTTTGATAATCCTAAATATAATTCTTATTGGTACTTTATATTAAATACTGATCATTTACTTTATGTACAGGCTTGATCTCATATCATCCTTCATACAAGTATAAGGCATACATTTAAATAATAACATAATATGAAAACATATCAAGGTTACATCAGCCACGTTGAGGTGCCACAGCTATCTTTAATAAGAACTACATTTTCCCCTGAATGTTGTGCTACAAGACATACACAGTTTAAGAATGAATGTTATTGTTATTGTTATTGACATCTCATTATGGTCTTTCTATATGGGATCATTACATCCGAGTATTATCTGGATAAATCTACCCACAACCGTCATCAGCCCATCTGTGATCAATGTCTGAAATAATGTGTATATAAAGACCCCCATTTATTTGTTTAATAAAGCTTTAGTTTATTTTTGCAGTTTGATAATTTCACTTTGTTAAATTTCACATTTTATTCTTAATTCGCTATTATCACTCTCGAATTTCTCACTTATTGCATCTCTCGTTACGGCTTTTATACAAAATCAATGGTGTAACACCCAAAAAAAACTAAACCCTGATCCCCATGACAGCTCAGCGACATGCTTAGAAATCCCACTGTCATCCATAGTCATCTCGCCAGCAAACTTAAGCCGAACTACAGCATCCCTCATCAGTCATATGGCATACACTTTCGACACAGACCGAACAAACTGCATTCAACCCTTTAAAACTACAGAACTCATCGAGTCCCCAAGACTTGCTAAAACCTTTCTTCGAAAAGTTGCCAACAACGAAATAACTCTGGCCCCTTTCTTTGTTCGATGCTTTATCCCCGCTGAAATAGCTAACCGAGGTCTACACCCCTTTACCCAAGTCACAAATCACCGCACTATCAACATAGTACCATTTATACAAGCCATTGGCTTTACCCAAGAAATCAACTCTCCTTCGATGCGCTTCACCTCCAAACAATTCCGTCAAGCCTGCTCCCCCCCAGTTTACCCATCATCACGCTCTACCGCCACCTTATTCGCCAGAACCATATTTTCCTTGGTCTCAATTCTGGCTTTTACCACTATTTCACTCAGTTCGAAATATCTGGTATCGACTAATCGACAAGAAAATCCCGCATCATTCCATTCTCTACAGATTTATGCCGGAGCACTTCTCCACGCCCGCGTGTCCCATCTGTTCACATCCCGAAGAATCACTCTCGCACTTCCTCTTCACATGTCCATCGAAACTACAAGTATGGCAGCACATGTGGGATACATATATTGGTCCCTCCACATCTACATTCTCACTGGATCAAGTCCAATATATCCTTCACACCCTGCAAATCCCTGATCATCTAAGTACAACAGCAATACCCTCCCCACTAATGGCATTTCCTGCTACTCTTGAAGCTATCTGGTCGTCGCACTGGGCCTTCGTGTTTAACAACGTTCCATTCACCGCCACCGCCACCATCTCCTTATTCACAAGTAATCTCCTTCGCATGCGCCAAGAATCCTCCATCAAAAAAGGTATTCCACATACCCCTCTTCCTTGTCTAGCAACAAACTAAGACCGCTCGGGCTTCGATTGTTGTTCTCATTTGTATATTAAACAAAAAAAAAAAAAAAAAAAAAAAAAAAAAGAAGCTACGGCTCACAGATAACACATAAAAACCCAATGTAATAATTGGACTATTTAGGGACTGTTAAAAGTAAAATATAGAATATTTATTTCTTTATTGAATAAATGTTCGATGTATTTATATTGTTCATAATAGTTAAAAGGCATAAGTTCGGATGTAGTAGCATAGATATATGTAGTTTGTCATAGTAATTCGCATGGATGGCAAATAATGATCTTATCGGGCAAAAGATCATATGTCGATAGTAGTTGATATTTGAATTACCACAAACGTGACTTGCTAAACGTTACACCCAAAAACAAGATTGTGGCTACCTTTTAAAATTTTCACTAATAAACTCGAGACAACGTCTCCATATAAAGAAAAATCAATAAAACGATAACTCTTTTACTACTCTACTTAAATATCTATAACTAAGCTTAACACTTATATCAAACCCGACAAGTGAAAAAAAAACTCTCCGACTGGGAATTGAACCCAGGTCTCCCGCGTGACAGGCGGGGATACTCACCACTATACTATCGAAGAAGATAAGATAGTTTTATCGCGCGTTGAAAATCCACCTTCTTATATCCTTTTTTTTCGACCTAAGCCACCCGTTAAAATCAGCGATAAATCAATTTGACCAGAAAAGGAACTAATTAAAAAACAAGTCGGGCAGTAGATATCACCTGCACAAGCAAAGCATGTCACACGACCCTACGCCCAACGATCAGGAGGTCACGATAGGTATCCCCTATTTATCACCTACCTTAAATGAAACAACAGCAGTTACTAGAAACATCAGAAAAAACAATAAGACCCAACAAAAAAATACGAAAACAAATGAAAAAGAACAAAAAAATGAAGCAGGAAACAATACACCATCAACCGCGCTAGGCATAATGGATATAGACCAGGACAAAACAAAAAATGGCACAACAGGAAAAAAAAGGAGTGCACCAATTTCCCCGGAATAGGAACATGCGAGGCCTTAGACACATTGAAACTAACAAATAAAGAACATTTGAATGAACAACAAATGGAATTTATCACCAAATTCAACAAATATCAGAAACAAATAGAATGTAGCAAATGCAAAGGTACATGGTTAAACATTGACAGAATCGATCATATCGAAATCGAAGACGAAGAATATGCAGAGATTGTTTTATTACGCAAAAACTGTACAAAGAAATTTACAACGGCAGAGGTACAAGAATTAATCACTAAAGTAACAAAAGAAAAGAAAAGACAGATAGGAGATACAAGAGTTACAGCAAATGACAAGAAGTAAAGTATACAGCAGACGTAGAAGCTGTTATGGAACAATATGAACTAGCAAGAGAAAAAATATCATGCAACAAATGCGGAACAATTGGAACTATACAAAAAAATGGAAGAAACCAAGAAAGCCACCAAAACCACAATACAAATGTAAACAATTCGAAAAAGGAACAACATTTGCTGAGATGAAAACTATTTTGAAGTATGAAACAACAAAAAAAAAACGAAGAGCAGATGCAAACAGGTACAGAAGAAAAAAGTGATTTTGAAGATGACGACGAAAGTGATGTGCCAGATATCGCAGACACAGAAATGGAACAAGACGAAGAACTAGCAGGAGAAATAAATGTCTGGAACGAAATGAAGCTACTAAAAAAAAGATTAGAAAAAACAGAAAAAGAAACAAAAAAAATGCAGGAGCTTATTAGGGAGAACATCAACCTGAAAAAAGAAAATATTGAACTAAAAAGGAAAATGCGAGAAATGGAAGAAGAAAACGAAACAGAAGAGTACAATGAAACAAATAACAACAACAACAACAACTATCAAGAAGAAAACTTAAATCAGAGTAAAATTCAGGACAGCAACACAAACTCACATAACGAGTTCCCATACTTAAAAGCAACAAAAAGCAATATAGCACAACAACAAAACAACAACAACAACAATTGGACCAAAAGAAGAAAAAATCAATTTTTTCGACAAAACAACCCAACTAAGAAACAATTGGAAATAGCAACAAGAACATTCGAGGAAAAAAAAGAAGACAACAACTTCATAAACATACATATACCATGCAAAAGACGAATGAAACCATCCGAAATTAGAAAAAAACTAGCCTACGTTGGAATCGACAACATACAAGTACTTGATACATACTGTCCCGATTGGGATACAGTACTACTATTAATACACGAAAAATATAAAGACACAGCAGAAAAAAAATTGGAACAGGCGGGTATATTCACAAAGGAATATAACTACCTACATATTTCACATTTAAGAGACAGCAAATTAGCAGGACTATCGACAGAAGAAAAAGTAGCAAAACTGCAGCAAATTAGGAACAACTGTTCAATGAGAGCATTAGAATTTATTAGAGAGCCGGTAAAAAAATCAGTAGCAAGATGCTTTTACCGTCAAAACATTATTAGCGAAGACCAATTGAAACAAATATTGACAGGAAGAAATATGAACGAAGCAATGGACATTTTTCAAGAACCAGCAAAAGAAGAACAACCAATCGGAGGTAATCCGGAAGCATCTCAAAAAACAACAGCAACAAATTAAAATTGATTATATAATTAGCGAAAACAAACCCTGAAGATCACCTGTCAAAATAACAACAAATTCATGCAACATTCTCCCTTTCCCATTTTTAACTTTTTTCCTTCATCACATATGAAGTTTTTTAGACACACCTTTACTTTATTTTATTTTTACCATATTTTCATTATTTAAAACGAAACATAAGAGGGAGTAACTAGTACTCATCATCCTCACCAATAAACACTTAAGTTATACTATCGAAGAAGAGATGCGATTGTCAGTACGCCAAATGATAATAGCAGAATACCAAAGCTACCTAAGTTACACACCCGGCCAACTTTTAAGCCAATCACGCCAGCTCGATTTAAGCGTCAGCGATTGCTATACATAGCGTTGGGTATCATACCGTTCCGGCCCGGACACAATTAAATAGTAGTATAAATATATTTTCCCTGTTTATTTCAATAAAGGACAGCTATCTTTTAAGTAACTCTAAACGTGCTGATAGACCCTAACCTTTGGGTATACATCCATCCATCAGCGAATCACACGAATCAACGACTGACAACTGGTAGCACCAGGACGCTTATCTTACACTTTTGATCCTTTTATCCGGGAATAAAGTGATCGAAAAACTTAGAAGAAAAGGTGTTCAAGAAAGACAAGTTAAGACGGAAAGTCAAGTCATTACAAGCATTAAGAACAGTAATTAAGGAACCAAGTCAAGATCAAGTCTAAATTTTGCAAGAGACACGACAAGACATAGGCAGATTAGCAAGTCAATTTATTTTTTCATTTTTTCATTTTTTCATTTTTTCATTTTTCATTTTTCATTTTAATTTTTTCTCACGCTAGTATAGTCTGATATATTCTTTCGGAGTTTATCTCCCTCCCTTTTTTTTATTCTTACTTTTATTTTTTTATCTTTACTTTTATTTTATTTTATTCTATTCTTATCATGGACAACAGTGATCCACAAAACCCAAGTAATAGCGGGGCTGGGGGACAAGACAGTAATAACCCATTCTACCGGATGGAAGGCTACTACGCACAGCTGGCAGCAGCGACCTTGGAGAATCAAAGAATGACAAGAGAGATGTATGCAAACCAATCGGCAAGACAAGTCAAAGTCAAGGAGCCTGATACTTACGACGGCGAAAGGAATGCAAGTACCATTGATTCTTGGATCAGGGGTATAGAAAAATATGGTCAATTTTTTGCCTGGGATTCCACTACCATCTACAAGTATGCAGTGACTCTTCTGCGTGGTAGGGCTGAGTTATGGCACAGTCAACTTTCACCGGCAGTAGAAGACTGGGAGGCTCTAAAGCGAAAATTATCAGAGGAATTTCGACCCACTAATGCTGACCTTATATACCGTGATCAATTAGCTATGATTAAGCAAACAGGAAGCATGGAAAGTTACGTCAATGAATTCATGGACATTTGCTTATCGTTACCTGACCTTACTGACGATGAGAAATGCGACAAGTTCATGAGAGGGGTAATATCGGATGGGTTGAGGGCAGAGCTGCGTAACATAGACCGTCAGACAAGATCTATTGGCCAGTTCTACTCAATTGCAACAAATTATGCAGGCGCTCGTGTATTTGCTACTCAAGATAATACAAAAGGAGGCTCATCTCATCACTATGATCCCATGGATTTGGACGCAATCCAGCAGAATCGTCGTACAAGCAACTACCAAAACAAGCAAGGTTTTCGTGGCTCGAGTGTTCCAAGAAACAATGGCCGATATAATAATAACTACCGAGGAGGTCGCGGGGGTCAAAACAATCGTGGTGGCTTTAAACAAGGAGGCCAGTTCCATCGTATCGGATTGAACCCTAACATACAATGCTTCACGTGTGGTAATTTCGGGCACTATGCGAAACTTTGCGCTTTAAATGGTAATCAACCTAGAACGTGGTCCTATTCAGCCGCTCCAGCCTACTCAAGCCAACCTGACTGGTCAAGCTTCGACTCTACCCTTGAACTTGATTGATTTGGATGATACTGGTGATTCAGCAAGAAATAATAACAGTTATGGAAATAAAGCTCCCTCTTCTCGTTACTCTTGCTTGGACTCTCTTCATAGTTCGCAGGACTTAAGCATGGATAGTGTAACTAATACCACTCCATACACTCAGTATACGTATAATGATGATGTTAAAAGTGCTCCTCCCTTTGAGTTAAAGCCTATACATTGGGATTCATGCGAACACCCAATCATCAGCATTATTGATGATACATTATCATTAGACCTAAAGCATATAGCTGAGTTGATGTCAATCAAAACAACAACCGACCTTCCCCTGTATGAGGCAGCTGTGCAATTATGGGTAAACCAAAGTACAACATTGGTTCACGTCTTGATTGATACGGGAGCAACAGAGTGTTATATCTCACCTGGCTTAGCCGAAATTGTTAGGGGAAAGCGAGTCCTAGTGGACAGACAAGTTGAAACAGCTGGTGGTACAATTGATGATATTGAGGAACAGCTTACGTTCGAATTAGACTTGCAAGGTTTTAGAACAGAGGTTTCCGCTTTCGTATATGCAACAAAATTTGACATCATATTGGGCAACTCGTGGCTAAGAAAACATCGAACAGAAATAAGATGTGAAGATGGTTCAGTAACCTTTGAAGGGAAACCCAACTTGGTGGTACCTCGGGTAGCGGTAAACAAAACCAAGGACACGGTGGAGCTCAATAGCATATTTGACTCAATTGGGGGATATCTAATATCATCTAAACAGGTTCATCAGCTAAGAAAAGCAAACGAAGTTGAAACTTGTCTCTTATACGTGGTGGATAAAGCGGAGAGTAGTGAAGGCGTGAATAATTTTTCATCAGTCATGATTAATACGTTTCCGTCGGTATTTAAAGAAGACCTGGCGGGCCTTCCGCCTGATCGTGATTTCAAGCACATAATTGACACACAAGACGCGTCTCCGGTGAACAGACAAGCATTTAGAATGAGTCCTCGAGAACTTGACGAGCTGAAGAAACAGTTGAAGCAGCTGTTAGACCTCGGTTTAATCCAGCCAAGTTCCTTGCCGTGGGGTGCACCCGTGCTATTTTGTCGTAAGAAATCAGATAATAGTTTGCGTATGTGTATAGACTATCGTGCTTTAAATGCTCTCACTCTTAGGAATTCGAGTCCGTTGCCAAGAATAGACGAATGTCTTGATCGGCTGAAAGGGGCTCGCTTCTTTACAAGTTTAGATCTAAAGAGTGGATATCACCAAATTCGCATTCATCAAGACGATGTTCCTAAAACGGCATTTAATACCAGATATGGAAAATTTGAATTTCTAGTATTGCCTTTCGATCTAAGGCCCTCACAAGCACACAAAAAAAATTTTTAATGGTCCAAATATAGGACTTTTTTTTCGTTGTCCGTTTTTTTTTTTTTTGGTGAAATGTTACATCAGATTCCATTTTGAATGATTAAAAAATTAATGTTACAAAAAGAGATAATTATAAAAAAGGTCGAAAAATTTTCAGTGCAAAAAAAAAGGAATTATCCAAATAAAGGATTAGAATCTGACAGTACCAAAAACCCTTCTATTATTTGAAAAAAAACCCAAAACGGACTACTGAATTCACGATAATGTTTTTTTTTCTAAAATAAATTTTTATTTGCAACCCCTTCACGTTTTTTCTCTCTCTCTATCCTTTTTATCATCCAATTTAAAAAAAAAATGAGTTTCCAAAATTACACCAGCGAAAACTTTGTCAACGGTTTTAACGGCAACACCCAAAGGGGTCGACCCAGAGCCAACAGACCAGCAACGGCCAGACCTGATGTACCTGTCACATCAAATGCTGCCCCGGTACCTACTACCCCTGCTACCCCTACCACTGCTTCTACAGCTCCTACTCCTCCTACTCCTCCCAATCCTCCTACTAACCCCACTCCTCCTACTAACCCCACTGCTCCCACCGATGCAAACTTACCTGCTTCTTCTGAAGCACCTGTTTCTTCTGGAGCAGCTCCAGCAACTCCTTCCGAGTCTGCTTCTTCTGATGGCGCAACTCGTCAATCATCTACTGGCCGAAACTGGGACGAACCTAGCACGTACGTTTTGATTGAGTTGTTTAGAGACTATGCCATCCAAATAACCAACACCTCGTCTCCTGAGAGAAAGACAGAACTTGACGCTGCAGTTTTGAGAAACTTTAACGATCATGAAGCTGTCACTGTTACCAGGAGTCTTAGCTCGATGAAGAACAATTGGAATGATATGATTGCATCCTACAGAGAAAAACGAGATGCAGCTAGAACTACTGGTAGTGTTCCTCTTCCGCACTGGGAGTTTTATGATGCCATGGAAGATGCAACGACCCGTATAGCAACGGTCAACCCACACGTGCTATATAGTTCACTTTCGGGTGAAACTGTTGATAATCGTGAGCAACACACCTCTGGTAGACGTAGACGATTCACAGTAGAAGATGATGATGATGTGGAGGAGCCTGTGACTAGACGACCTCGAAACGTTGATGTGTCTGTCTGGTTTATGGCAAACCGTATGGAAGAAATTGACGAAAGAAATCGTCAAGAGAGAGCTGATGATCGTCGGTTTCATCGAGAGCAAATCGAGTTGAATAACCGTCTAAGACGTGAAAATTCGGAGATGTTGAGAGAAGCTACTTCGGCTATGACTAGAATGGCCGAATTGTTTGCTTTATCTCTTGCAAATAATAACCCCCCTCCTACCTCTTCCCCTTCCACCACCAATACTAGCGACAACAACAACAACCCTTCCCCTCCTTCCTCTAATGATAATAACATTTAATTTTTTTTTATATAAATAAAGTTTTTTTTATACTTCCCTTGTTCTGTTTCTGTAGTTTGTTCTGGTACGAATCAAGCTAGTAAGGGATTCGGTTCGTCTATCATTTCCATTTATATCCGAATTTGCCTCTTCTGTACCAACAGCACCACGGATATTTTCCAGAACAACATCTGTAAAGCCAGGATCACGAAGATCAATACACATATTGTGCAAGATGCAGGCTGAAGTAATAACCTCATTGATTGACAGCTAATCTAAGAGGTAGATATATCGACCAGTAAATCTCCAACGAGCCACCAGTACACCAAACGCTCTTTCAATAGCCATTCTTGTGGCCGAATGTACATGGTTGAATGTACGTTTATTGCTGTCAACCAACATTGACTTTCCGGGAAGGGTGTAATTAAATTGGGACCCAAATGATATGCAGAGTCACCAACCAAAAACGTACGACCAGGGAAGTAGGTCTCAGGGTTCGCAAGAATGGTTCTAAAGAGATCACTCGAGGTGAATGCGGCTGCATCATGTGTTCTTCCTGATAGATTAATACATATTAGCATATTTGTATTTTTTAGGTTTTTGGCTTTGGTTACAATACCTGAATCACCTACTCTGATGTACGTAAATCGCAACTCAGAGTCACAAACTGCAGTCAGTTTGACAGAGTAATCATTCTTACGATCTCTGAACATCCCACCAGCTTCACCAGAAGGCTTGTGAATTTTGAAATTCTTGCCATCCACAGCACCAATAACGTGGCTCAACCTGCGACCATCGTTACTACCAAACCCGAGAGCTACTTCACCTGCTTCCTCTGGGTCAGTTGGCCAAGCAACTAAGTGACCCAGTCTTCCTTTGATTGCTTTGACTGTTCGTTTGGTGAAGTTGTTATAACTACCGTAAGAAACACCCAAATGCATATACGCTTGACGATATCCGATATGACTATTGGCCAAACGAAATAAAGCCGTTGCGATCTGAATGTAGATCGGGATGGTGTTAGGTG